GAACTCCATGAGGTTTGCATGGTCCCACCTCATGAAAACATTCACATTTTGATACCAAATGGGTCTGTTCACTGTGTGGGCATCTCAATTCATTAATTAATTGTCTGTTATTCATTCCAGAGATTTAACAGGCTGAAGTGGAGGACACAGCTCGGTCACAACTCCACACATGAGCTCTGCAAACACCTCCATGTTTGCGCTCTGCTAAGGAGCAGCCAAGCTTAATATTGAATTTGGATCTTGCTAAAGAAGGTGAAATGTGCCAAGGAGCTACACCAGTGCTGGAGCAGCAGGGGAACACCAGCGTCCCAGGTCCTTGGAGGTGCTTGGCAGGCTCTAGGTGCCAGGAGTTGGGTCTTGCCATCATTCCCTGGCACCTACTGGCTTCCCCCAGTCTAGAAAGTTGGGTTTGGCATGACCAAATCCCAGGAGAGATGGAAGGAGACCCAGCATCACACTGACCTCTGACTTGCTGCTCTAAGCTGAGGATGACAGCCACAGCCTGGTGTAGAATCAGGAGCTTGGTCTGGGGCTTGTCGCTCTTCAGATGGAGCTGCACCATCCGGCCCAACTCCTTGAAAGCCTCGTTGATGTCGCGGACGCGCAGTCGTTCTCGAGCGTTGTTGGCCATCCTCCTTTCTTTTTCTCTCTCAGCCTTCTGCTCTGGTGTCAGGTCTTCATCATCGTTATTGCTGGGAGAGAAAAGGGACACGTCATTTTCTAATGATGCGGAAAACCAAGAGTGCAAGAGATTTTTCAACAGGCTTTGACCAAAACTGAGGCCACAAGTCATGAGCAGACACCTTCTGAGCCATTCTTTCCTGTTCCTCTTCCACCAAACTCTTTGATTTTTAAATTTTACACGCTTGAGTAAAGCTTTGGCTTGTAATGAAGCTTTAAAATCTATACATTTTCTGATATTTAAAAGAAATATAAATAATAGTTTTTATTCAGCAAGATATTTTCACAGGATCACAGAATGTTAGAGATTGGAAGGGACCTCGAAAGATCATCCAGTCCAATCCCCCCCAATTTTATCACAGCCAACACCACAACCTTTTAAATCATGGCAAATCCCTACTCATCCCCACTTTAACCCCAAAGGACATGCTGGTGGCTCCTTGCACTGCTCCCATCTTTGCTGCCTGAGGGTTTGACCCAGGAGTGAGGAGCTTCTCCCCAACCAGTGAGGAGATATAACACCTCTCACCCAAGTTCCACCAGCTCCAGCCCCTCAGAATAGCTGCCAAGCCAGGATGACAGCCAGGCATTTACACATTTCTCTTTCAGCAGACCATCATTTGGGTTTTGGAGGACACTTTCTCCACCACTGAGGGTGAAGGTGAGGATCCACCATCTTTCCAAACCATGGGCAAAAAGGCCATGGAAGTAATTTATGGCCATGAAGAACCCTATGGTGAACTTCTACCTCCATTCTGCAATCAAACTGCTTTCTCTCCAGATAAAAAAAATGATGATTTAAAACTGAAAATGCATCCAGTGGTTGAGTCACTACATAATTTGGTTATGCAAATGGAGTAATCCATTTCCAGCAGCCCTAACGACATGGATTTCAACATCTAAATAACATCAGGAGTAACCTTTTAAAGCTGTGAGGATGTTAAAAGCAAAACCGTTACCCTCCCAAAGCTTCAAAGCACATCTAAATATACATGAGGGACAGCTACCATCACAAGAGCTACCAACCAGCATCTCACATCAGCATGAAGGTGCTTTCTCCTTACCGTGTCGGAACTCCACATCAAAGCCTCACTCCTACACATTTCTTGAGAGAAAAATCTCCAGTGTCACCTACTTTCTCCAGTTGTTAAGGGACGTGAATGTCATTAATGTTTGAAACATCAAAAAACCATGAAACTGGCCTGAGAGGTCTAAGTCTTGGCACTCTCCTGGGGGTAGGACATCTGCTTGGACATTTCTTACACAATCACAGAATGGTGAAGGTTGGAAGGGATCTCTGGAGATCATCTAGTCCAAGCCCTCAACCTCATCTTGGTTTTTACACGGAGAACCAGGTGTGGAAGGAGAAAAGGCAGAAGGACGCTGCCATTCCAGCTTGAAAACCCCTGAACAAAGCTGGGTTGTGCCTGGATTTCAGCTTTAATGGGATTTTTGCTACGTAGCCCCATTAGAAATCGACTGGTGATGAGATCTCAGATGATACAACCCAACTACAGCTTCATTAATACTTCCCCAAAAATTGATAAATAAGCCAAACAAGTCAAGACCTCTAAATCCTTCACTTCAATCCCATGGAGCCCTGGAGATTCAAAGCAAGGAAGGGCTGAAGATGACAGAGAGAAAAGAAACCATCCCATTTGTTAATTCAGATTACAGGTGTGATCACATCTAGGCACATTTTTTTTTGGAAGAGATGACAATCCACACTGTATTCCAACTTGCAGAGAGGAATAACAGCCTCCTTGGCATCTTTTAACATCACAGAATTTGATATTGATTATAGAGAACATGCTCAAGGTCCAAATTTGTGTCATTGGTTGAATTTGAGGACATCCTGGAGGACAAGTACCAGAAAGGTACTCGGTACAACCAGGACATCCTTAAGCTGTGGTTTTACCTGCCAGGAAAAAAAAAAACCACCTCAAGAGTTTCCTCCTTGTTCTGTTCACTTCATCAAAATCCAATAAAGGAATTAAATGAAGCGACACTATGATATACTGTTACCTAGATCTTGACCTAGTAATTGATTTGATATCCTTCTTGTCATCCTCTAGTTTCTTGTCCTCAGAAGACTTGGTGTCTTGGAGGTTTTCATCTCCTTCGTCGTCAGATTTGATTTCGGAGCTACCCGAAGAGACGCTCTGTCCTTGCAGGCCGGTTGGCATGCCTACAAGAAGAAAACAAGGATGAGCCATCAAACATACGCTGAAGGCAAGACCTGAATGGTGTGGGTGGATGTTCCTTGTCCAGGAACATCCCCAGCCCCATCTGATGGGTTTCAGCCAGGGCTTTGAGGTCTTAGCTCTGCTCTTTGGAAGGTGGCATGGGATGTCTAGCTGCTACTGCTGCTCTTCAAGCACTACGAAACTTCTCCTTCATCTTAAAAACGAATCTTTAATACCTTGATCTCGTAAAATAGCTGAAGAACCTCAACTGCAACGAATGAGTAAGACCTCATAAGCCACCATAATGGTTTAGGCTTCTTCTTCTACACTTTAGAGAATCACAGAATGGCCTGGATTTGAAAAGACCTCTAAGATCATTGAGTCCAATCACGAACCCAACACTGACAAGTCCCTGACTGACCCATCTCCCTCAGCACTATGTCTACATATAATGGCAGAAATCCAAAGGTGGTGGTTGGAAGGGACCTTCAAGTTCATCCAGTTCCAACCCCCCTGCCATCAGCAGGGACACCTTCCACTAGACCAGGTTGCTCAAAGCCTCATCCAACCTGGCCGAGAACACTTCCAGGGAGGAGCAGCCACAGCTTCTCTGGCCAACCTGGGACACTGGCTCACCACCCTCACACCAAAGAATTGCTTCATAGAATCATTAAGGTTGGAAAAGATCCCTAATTTCAAGTCCAACAATAATCTAACCTCTCTCCAAGTCCCTTGGAGGAGGGTGGAGAGAGGTGGGGGTGGGTCTGTTCAACCAAGGCCCAAGGGACCGGAGAAGAGGAAATGGGCTCCAGTTGTGGCCAGGGCAGTTGAGATGGGATGTGAGGAAGAATTTCTTTGCTGCAAGGGTTTTGAGGCATTGGAAGGGGTTGCCCAGGGCAGTGGTGGAGTCCCCATCCCTGGAGGGATTGAAGAGTCGTGTAGACATAGTGCTGAGGGACATGGGTCAGTTGGGGACTTGTCACTGTTGGGTTCATGGTTGGACTTCATGAGCTTCAAGGGCTTTTCCAATCCAGGTAACTCTGAGATTCCAATATCCAATCTAAATTAGATGCTCTGTGCTGTGTCACTGTCTCCAAATCCCTCCAGCCCTGGTCACTGCTGTCCCAGCCACATATCTGGGGACGCTGTGGCCTGGGATGGGCATCTCAGGTGGGTGATACTCACCCCTGTAGGGGTCTTGGGGTGGGTTCAAATCCGGGGACGTGGCAGACTGGACGGGCAGCTGAGGGACCGGGACTTGGTTTGGCACAAGCGAGTGGCTCCCACGGAGGCTGACCCCATCCTCACGATGCGCTCCGACCTGCCGGCGAGGAGACAGACAGCGGGTGAAGCCATGAGGTGCTGGACAACCAGCCAAACCCCCCAAACCCTGTGAGACCTCAGAAGAGGGATGGGGATGGATGGTGGATCCATGGCAGTGGGAGATGTTTCACTAGATGGCGCAGACAGTCCGTAGTGTCACACGGCCCCGGGGAGGACGTTACCCACCACCACAACCACGGACAGAACCAGCTCAGGCAGGTAAAACATCAAATTGTCTCCCAGACAACCAGCCAAACCCCCCAAACCCTGTGAGACCTCAGAAGAGGGATGGGGATGGATGGTGGATCCATGGCAGTGGGAGATGTTTCACTAGATGGCGCAGACAGTCCGTAGTGTCACACGGCCCCGGGGAGGACGTTACCCACCACCACAACCACGGACAGAACCAGCTCAGGCAGGTAAAACATCAAATTGTCTCCCAGGGTGCCGCAGCCGAGCGCGTCCATTCCCACCCATCTGTCTTCTATCATGTCCGCCAACAGAGCTGACAATTATCTCCATGCCCATATGCTTAATTGGGGGCTTCTCAATTCCCCCAGCGCTCGCGGAAAATCCTGCAGGAATTTCAATTTGGCATCTGACTTTAATTTCAGGGGGGGGGGAAATCAGCTTTTCAAGCCTGCCATATTTTTTTCCCAACCCCCCCATGATGCCTGCAAAGCTGCTGACAGCAGGAGCGAGTGACGTGGTCCCTGCTTCCCCCCCCAACCCCAACACCAATCATCAAACATCATCATGTGTCACCTGCCTTTCCAAAATGAGAAGCTTCGTCCAAATTAGCGCTCGCTGGGTTTCATTAACCAGCCAATCCCAAACCCAACGCAGCACTGGCCCTGCCAACGCCATTTTATTAAACACTCCAGTGATGCCATCATGGGTGTGATGGCAACACATCCCTTCCTCCACTCTACGTGGCTCGTAGATGTGTTTTGTGGAGAAGGGTCACTCCTTCCTTCAAGAATCACAGAATGGTTGAGGTTGGAAGGGATCTCTGAAGGTCAACCAGTCCAACCACCCTGCTCAAGCAGGGACTCCTAGAGCACATGAACCAGGATTTTGTCCAGATGGGTTTTGAGTATCTCCAGAGATATCTCCGCAAACTTTCTGGGCAACCATGTGTTTGTTAGGTCACTTAAGCTTTGCATCGCACTGATGAGTAGCTGGGGTCTGACTAGGGGACTCTGGCTGAAGATCCCCCACCCTGGGGCAGGTGATGACCCAGCAAAACCTCCTCTTGCTGTTGGCATGTTTTTATGAGATCTCAATGAATCACAGAATGGTTGAGGTTGGAAGGGACCTCTGAAGCTCATCTAATCCAACCACCCTGCTCAAGCAGGGACTCCTAGAGCACATGAACCAGGATTTTGTCCAGATGGGTTTTGAGTATCTCCAGAGATATCTCCACAAACTTTCTGGGCAACCGTGTGTTTGGTACATCACTTGTGCTTCTCGTGGCACTGACGAGTAGCTGGGGTCTGACTAGGGGACTCTGGCTGAAGATCCCCCACCCTGGGGCAGGTGATGACCCAGCAAAACCTCCTCTTGCTGTTGGCATGTTTTTATGAGATCTCAATGAATCACAGAATGGTTGAGGTTGGAAGGGACCTCTGAAGCTCATCTAATCCAACCACCCTGCTCAAGCAGGGACTCCTAGAGCACATAGAATCATAGAATGGGTTGGGTTGGAAGGGACCTTAAATCTCATCCAGTCCCAACCCCCCTGCCAGCAGCAGGGACACCTTCCACTAGACCACGTTGCTCAAAGCCTCATCCAACCTGGCCTTCAACACTTCCAGGGAGGGGGCATCTACAACCTCCTTGGGCAACCTAAGTCCAAGGTCATGTAGTCCAACCACCCTGCTCAAGCAGGGACTCCTACAGCACATGAACCAGGATTGTGTCCAGATGGTTTCTGAATATCTCCTGGAAGGGAGATTACAAAACCTCTCTGGGCAACCTGTCCCAGTGCTGTTACCCTCACAGTCAAGAAGTTCTTCCTGATGTTCAGGTGGAACTTCCTATGCTGCAGTTTATGCCCAAAAATCACCAAGAAGAGTGAAACATCTCAAGTGCATAACTGTCAGGAGTCGTAGGAGATTTTGATATAAAACCACCCAGAACAGTGACACTGGCATCACCTCCCCGATCCAGTACGAGTAGATGGAAAGCTACCAACGGATGGTGTCCACCAGATAGCGTATCCATGAGCAAAACTCAACGCTCCACCTCCTCAGGTGCACGCAACTCCAAGCCCTCAAGTAAAAAGGGAGCTAAACCAGTCAGAGAACTGTAAATCCGCTCTTTTATCCTCAAAAAGTATCTCCTCGGGTAGATAAAAAGATGGAGGGATGTTTCTCATCAGACCTACAAGATCACGTCGGATAATTGTTTGCAGCAAGTCGAGACCGCGGTCAGGAAGATAAAAGGGAATCCTGCCAAGAGGAACTCGAGAGAAACCTTTCACTACGAGACAAAAAGCAAACAACCCAAAAGCAAGTGGAGATAAAAACTCAACTCTTTGGTGAGATGTTTCCATTTTAAGAACATGAGATCCTCAAAAAAACCCCCAAACCTGGAATTGGGATTATTAGAGAGGGAGAAAATGAGTTGACACGGGGAGCTTGGAGCTCAGCAGTGCTGCTTCCTGAAAGCTCAACCAAGGAAACACAGTCCAAGCCTGATGAGAACCTTCTGAGGAGGAAAAGTGGGTTTGTTTTCCCCCAACAGATAGGAAAGAAAATGCCTAGTGAAAACAGGATGTCCTTCTCCATCCTGACCCTGGGCAACCAACCTATCTTGGGAGCTGGAGCTAACTTCAGGGCTAGCTCAGCTGGAAGCAGGGACTTCACCTTGGTCATCACCACCAGTCTCCTCCCAGCTCCATTTTTCTATGATTATCCAAAAGATGAAAACCATTTAGTTTGGAGATTGATGAAAACAAAGGAACATACGACATCACTTCTGACTGGCAACCAACCACCACCCGAGCATCTCGCTCTGGGTCCCTCCCTTTTCCTCTGAGTCCCTCCAGGCTTCATCCATGAGCTGTGCAGACAGCCAGACCAAGCTGGAGATGGCAAACATCCCATCCTGCTCCTGCCCTGGAGCAGCCCACCTCCTTCATGGACCACCCTCCTTACGGGACTACATGAGATGCCTCCAGCTGGGTGGTCCAGCTTGAAGAAGGACAACTTAGCTATCTTCATTATTTGGTCTGATTTATTGAAGACCACATCTTGTGGTCTTCAAGAAGATGCCATGAAGTCACCAGAACATACTAAGAGAAAATTTTATATATATTTTCCAAATTGGTTCTAATAAAAAAGATATTTCCTGACATTTCTCCTCTTTTAGGTTCTCAAGAGATCTGGGAGGTAACCACCTACATTGTGTCTCACAACTCAATGATCAAACCCATCAATTCTGTCTTTCCTTTTTACAACCCACAACAAAGGAGCTGCTCCAAAACACCAACGCTTTCTAACTCCACAGCTACACAAACCTTCACCTTCCACCAGCCTCTCCATAGCATGTTTCCCCTGGATCATTTCTTTTTCCAGTTTCAATCATCTGCAAGAAGATTGAGGTAGCCCCATCACTTCGTTATCCACACACAAGGTATTTTCTGAGACACTGAAAGACTCCAACTCCACCATCTCCAACTCAAACTCTCCACCTTTGTGTGTGTGTGTAGGTGCACACACACATTACCTATAGTAAAAGATCACAACTAACCCACACCAAGTAGTGGACTGTTGGGGTTGGTTTCTGGTAGCACTATGGTTTTCACCATGCCATTGCATCTTCTCCACCCACAGGATGTTCTGTCCCACGTGGGTACCCAAACAACTGCTTTTTAAAGCAAACTTCAGCACCCAGATGTCCCCTAAAATAGGCTGGCCATTTACTCTTCTCCTTTAAACATCATCAGTTGTTCCACCAGGAACCCAGGACCTTCAAGAGCTCCACCACACTGCCAAACGTGGCTGACACCCACCATCTACCAGGGGTGAGACTTATGGACAAAAAGCCTGTCCTGTTCAAGGTGTCAGAGACCAAATCTGCTGGAGGGTGGGGAGGCTCTGCAGAGGGATGTGGCCAGGCTGGATCCATGGGCCAGGACCAACTGTCTGAGGTTCAACAAGGCCAAGTGTCGGGTCCTGCCCTTGGGTCACAACAACCCCCAGCAGCGCCACAGGCTGAGGGGAGACCTTGTGGCTCTGTGCAAGTCCCTTGGACAGAGGAGGGTGGAGAGAGGTGGGGGTGGGTCTGTTCAACCAAGGCCCAAGGGCCAGGACAAGAGGAAATGGGCTCCAGTTGTGGCCAGGGCAGTTGAGATGGGATGTGAGGAAGAATTTCTTTGCTGCAAGGGTTCTGAGGCATTGGAAGGGGTTGCCCAGGGCAGTGGTGGAGTCCCCATCCCTGGAGGAATCTAAAAGACATGTAGATGAGGTGCTCAGGGACATGGGTTTGAGGTGGACTTGGCAGTGTTGGGTTTTCAGTTGGACTCAATGATCTCAAAGGTCTTTTCCAACCAAAACAATTCTGTAATTCCATGCAAGCAGTGATGCCCATGAGCTTGGGCAGCTCCAGCTCCATCAAGGGACACCAAAGATTCTGCATTTTCTTCTCCCTCCCTCCCTCAGCAGCGCAGCCGGTTTGTCTGTTCTCCAAACAACAGCTCTGCCCTGAGGTGGAACGAAGATCTGAATCATTCCCCCCCAGCCTGGGAGTGTAGATTATAAATAATCCTTTATCTTTAGAGAATCAAACTCCCTTTGAAGTTCTATTAATATTTGATTTCTTTCCCTCTCTTTCCACAGGCCCCTACTCCAGAAGACCGGGAGAAAAAAAACCCCAAACCCATCTCCAACAAATAACAATTCCTAAAATGCTCATGGGAGGTGTAACTCAATGGGTAAATCTCAACTTCTCCTTTGCAATCACCATCTCAGGTTGCCCACAGGTACCCAAGCGTTGGTGGGCACGTTCCTGAGTGAAGTACCTCCTGCTTGGGAGAACTTAGCCAAAGGGAAAAAAAAAACCCCATGAGAAGCTCCAGTCGTGTGAGTTTTTTAGTTAAAAGGATTAAAAAAAGCTTCTGGAAGATAATTAAAGATGGGTTTGGAGAACATTGATCCCAGTAATTAAGGATCAAAATCTTTCTGTGGACCTTGTGGTGCACGTCTCCTTGGAGATTGATGGGACACGGCATGAAAACCTGGATAGACAATGTCTGAATTCACACCTGAATTAAGACTTTGATGGTGTTTTAAAAACTTCCAAGAGCTGGAAGGCAACTAGATCTTGTCTTCTCTCAATTTGGCATTTGCATTTTTATATAAGGTAATGGGTGTTCAGGAGGAACGTCGGGTTCTTCTGGTTCTCCTAGTTGGTCTGCACTCTGGATTATCGGCCCTATCTAAACAGTCATCATGGATGGGAAGTGGTTTGAAAAAAATAACTGTTT